GCCCCAAGACAGCAACATTTGGATATAAAAAAGACATACAGATTTAAAATATGCTTCCTTTCCACTTGCAACAGAGCAACATATGATAAGAGAATGGCCTGATACCAAAATACCATGTTAGTTTGCTTTTTAACCAGTACAGGAGGCATTTGGGGGTAATTTTTATATCATAAATGGCCCTGGAGCACAGCCTGTCCACATATTTGTATACACCTAACAACAAGGAAAGGATATAAATAACAGCTGGACTAACGTGTCAGGGATGAGGCCATGGCTCAGTGGTGGAGCACCTGCTTTGCATGCAAAAGGTCCCAGGTTCAATCCCTGGCATCTCCAGTTAAAAAGGTCAAGAAGCAATATGAAAGACCTCTACCTGAGACCCTGGAGAGCCACTGCCAGTCAGCACAGATAAGGCAGCTTCACGTGTGTTAATGAGCACAGCTTATCGCTTATTCATATTACAAAATATGGACCAACAAGCCCATGTTGGGTGGATACCAACATTAATACCACACTAACGTTATGCGAACGATCATTAGCTTATTATTTAACTCACTTTCTATTCTCCCCAATCCCACTGGGTGGACAAAGAATATCCTGGACAGGAAAAAAAACAAAAACCAACTGAACAAGCAGTTCATGTGCAGCAAAATGCTTCTTCGTTTTTGTCGATGTGTATATTTTGCTAATGCACATCTGCACAGAGTTAGCATGTTCTCTTTAACATCCTCTAAAATAAAGCTACCTAAAAATGTAAGTATGCAGACCTGGAAACTTTTAGATCTCCTCTATTATGCAGTAAATTGCTACATAGTGTAAAGAGTGCAAAATTTAAATCACACTTTGAATTTTATCAAAAGCAGTTAAGATATGCCTTGATGACACTTGGCTTAAGACACAGACTCCTCTGAAAGCATGTTTGTTTCTGGAGTCATCATCAAGTAAGGGATGGGAGTCGCAGGGTATCACTGTGTTGAGATGATTGCCTTCGCCATTTTGCAAGATGCCTCACCACTGCAATACTGCCACAAACAAGAAAGCAGCAAGATGCCAAGGGCCTTCCAGACGCTGTGTGCAGTGAAAGTGACTTGGTTTACTACTATTAAAAAGTTAATGTTTGCAAAGTCAACAGAGGTTTGGCAGAAGACCACAAAATGAGTCCATAACAGAGCTTAACCAGCCTACTTTGCCGACTGACAGGAGGGCTGGATTTTGTTCCTTCTGCTCCCCACCCACAGAGCTAATGAATAAAGAAGAATAAGGGAAGTGAAGGTGGGAACAACTGGTGTGTGGGAAGGTGATATCTGGAAGATGACAATGAGATGAGGGAGACCACCACCAAGCTAGGGTTGGAATCAAGGAAGGGAGGGAGACAGAAATTAAGAACCTTAGAGGAATACTAAGGCAAGAGATGTAAGGAGAGTACGGCACAGAAGGTGCTGGAGCCCACCTAGATCAGAAGCCATTATAGGGGTAAGAAACACAGGAATTAGGGAACAGAAGCAGGGTTTAGGAAAAGCTGGAAATGGGCATTAAAGAGACAGAACGGAAAGAGAATACAAAGGGACACACAAGATTTAGGGATCTGCATCAAGGGCCAGACCACTCACCACTGGCGCTCTGCAAACTTTGAGGGAAACAGCTGTTAATGCATATAGGTAATTATATCTATCTATGACGCATAAGCTAGGTTTTGTGACACAGTAACACTGCTTTAATATATTTTACAGCCTTTCCATACTACTGTTTCTTCATAAAACAGATGTACAATCTCTACTCTTCTGTTGCACAGGGCTCCGACATCTTACCTCAAGGTGGCGCTTCTGTTGTGAGGATATTTCACTTTCCTAGTTCCGAAGACCACAGTATTTTGTTACTTGGAATACGCAAGTAATTCCCCCAGCTAGTATAGACACAGATGATTCAAAGTGTTGCGCAGACTGTGACCTTGTGACCAGTGTTCCCTCTAAGCTGAGTTAGTGTGAGCTAGCTCACAGCTTTTTAGCCTCTGGCTCACACATTTTTGTCTTCGCTCGGGAAGGATGGCTCCAGAGCAAACTAATTTATGCAGTAGCCAAATCGCTCGCTCACATTAATGCCAGTAGCTCACAAAGTAGAATTTCTGCTCACAAGATTCCACAGCTTAGAGGGAACATTGCTTGTGACATAAACCGTTATGCCTCCTCTTCATACCATTTTGTGATTTCCACTACCGCTGAGCACATTTGGTTGCTTTTTAAAAAAATATATTCAAAAATGTCTGGACTAAGATATTAAAATTAAAGCTTTCAGTGACAAATATGTGGTTCCCAACGGAGCCTAATGTAAATCTACTTGGTTATTTCTATGATACAAGCTGGGATGGGAGGGGGCACAGAGGAATAACTGGGGCAGCGGAATAAATTATTTGGAAGTTTCCTCCCCATGCCTAGATTTCCTTTTCCAGAAATCTGTGAGATCCCAGTGGGACTTGAGCAGGCTGGGGTTGGGGTATGGGTCTGCCATACAGATATCTATCCCCCAGCCTCTATTTCCACCCCTTACTGAACTGCTTAAAGCTTGGTATGCCTTCTCTGAAGGTTAGGTGTATGTTTTGAAAGTATTCAGCTCAGAGCACAACCAGTTCTAGATAGTACCAAGGGAAGAGATGCAAGAACAGCAAGGTACAGAAGGAAGAAAAGCCGCAGCCTAGGTCAGAAACCATGATAGGGGTAGCAACCAGTGGAATTAGCCCTGGCATGGCCATCAGCCAAAGGGCAAGGGAATCATACTGCAAGCCGGTACACTTTTTTAAAAAACAGGGGATGAGTGCAAGACAGCACCTGAGCCCACCTTTGAATGAATCCTCATCTTAATACCCATCTGACAGATAGGGCTTGCACCCACACTACCAGGATTCTTCAACAGTATGCAGGCACAGTTTTTCTGCCTTTTTCAAGAACATTTTTGTGCATGCCCAGAATACAGAAATGTCCGCCATGGTTGTAGCTGGTCCTCTTTTGGTACCTTAGTCACTGGCATCCAGCCACTTCAGAATTAGAGGGGAAATGGCCAGGCCTGAATTAGTTGCAAGTACCTGAATGACACAACTGGAAATCAGTGCCTGGAAGAAAATTTCTGAAATAGCATCAGACCCTGAGATTATATGGAAAACTGGAATACCGTAGGCCTGGTCAAACCAGCCTACTTTGTAAGAGCTTGTGAAGGCAGCAAGGTGGATTAAACATGTGGGGGTCTGTAAAATTTCTACTGTATTGTGTATCTTTTTTAAAATATTGGATTAAAATGAAATCTGAATACAAACATGTTCAGTTCTTCATATCTCACAAAAATTAATGACCTTCTGACAAACATACTGAATTAAAGCCTGCCGGTCTTTGTAAAAAAGAACAAAAAAATGAAAACATATTTAACCTCAGATGCAAACATTTAAAATACGATTCAACAGGTTTATTACTGGAACAAATTATGCACATTTATAACTAATTATCAAACAGCATTTGGATTATTCTCATAGGCAGTACAGTAATTTAGTTTCAAGCCAATATGTTTTAATTGTCATGGGAACCAATTAATCAGTATTTCCTGAACCAGAGTTCATATTAAAGCCAATGATTTAAATCAAGCTCCCACTTCTACAATCATCTGTTTTTTCTTGATGGTTAAAACTATGATTTCAAAATGCACACTGAAGAGTCTTTGGAAAATCTTTCATATGAAATGGAACATTACACAACTCAATTTATTGAGGTATCTGGGACTTCTCTCAACATCTTGATTTTATATCCTCTTTTTATTGACCTTTACTGTTTTAAACTTTTATGCTGTACAACTCACAGCCAGGATCCAGGAAACTTTATGCATACATACATAAGTATCCATTTCATCTTATGGGGTAAAGGCTTCCCAATTTTCCTTGCCAACTACAGCCATTGGTACTGCCATGAATTTTGCCCTAGACAGTCTCCTGAGTTCAGGAGTAGTTCTTCAGGCTACAAGGGTCTAAGCGGCCAGCCCAGAACAGCCCCACTACACACTTTATACCCTTCATATCTTGGTCATAACAGTAAGCACCGACGAGACTTTGAATATACGTATCTACTTACAGGCATTATGAATTTATTGCTAAAATCAGCTATCATATACATAGATTAATATAAAATATGCTATAACAATGCTGAGCTTTAAATATTCACACACAGCTTCCTAAAGGGACTGTTAATTGATTAGAAAAGCAAACTAATTTATGGCTTTAAAGCAATTCATTAAAGTTAAATGAGTGTACATAAAGCAAAATTTGTTTAATGTTTACAGACCGCTTTTCAACCAAATCTACAAAGCAGATAAGGGTCACAGTTCACACAAATACATTATATTATGATACAAGACAGAATAAAAAGTAAAATCCCAAAGGTGACTTTAGGAAGATCCTGAAGGGAAGCAAGAACTTGTCTTCAACGTGAAAGATAAAGTTCCACTTCTAAATAGTATTCACTATTAGGCCATGTTTCACAGTTCCTTTTTTTTAATTATATTTGCCTTACACACAATACTACTTTTTTACAAAGCCCAGCAGTATAATGAAATGTTTAATAGATGTATTGATTATTTTTAATTGATCTCTATAATTTTCAACCCTTACTGTTCAAGAGAGAAACACCACATGTAGTACAATATACAACACAGTTCTGATTATACATTTATGCACAATGGAAATAAAAGTCCATTTTAAGCTTCTTTTTCATCATGCGCTAAAGGGAAAGGGAGACAGAAGCTTCAACAGGGCCTTCAATGACCTTCATAAATTCTTCCACATCTACTTTTTCTGTCACCAAATAATAATTAACTGGAAGGAGGAACAGAATTTTAATGTGTGATTAAAGCCATAATACATTAATCAGCCCAGTTCATCATTGAAGCTTTGTAGGTACACACTACAATGCACTAAGTCACACTCTCCTCAGGAATAGAGAACTTTAGACATCAACAACAAAACTTACCAGACGCCTTGAAAATTCTTTGTTTTCTGAAAGAAATCCATATCCTGGGTGGACCTTTAAAAACAAAAAGCCAAGGACTTTACACATCTGCAACTTGGGTTCAAACAATATTCCATCAACCAATTAAATCTGAAGGGAATACATTTGCTTGTAGTTATGGATACGCAAGTCAATCATCCTGAGTCACTCTCTTCCTAGCAGGTCAGCTGACTACTTCAAATACAGAGTCGTATTTTACTGGGTCAAAAATAAGCAAGTTTTTGAGTAAGAAATAGCATATCTTTCCATTCCCTGTCTTATGAAGAGTTCTGTGTAACTGACAAGCTTGCAGCTACTAAACACAACATACACTACCTCAACTCTTCATCTTTTAATCCTGGTTTTAAACATAAGGGGGGGACAAAAAAAGCTTTAGTAGTTCAGGGCTCCGCATGTTTTTAGTCACAAATAAGCCAGGTTGTTGGCACACGAGACTGCCAACATCAGGTGCTTCCAAGGCCACCAATCTCTGGTGTGTTGATACTGCCCACACAGGTGCCAACAACCTGATTTATATGTGATGCTTCCTGGAACTGACCCAACCCATACAAATCAGCCCGATTAAAGAGAATATTCAAGGAAGATACAAAGAAAGGTGGATTCATTTCTTTTCTCCCCATTTTTTGTTTCTCTTCTATTCGCACCAAACAAAAACATTTCAGAAGCTTTTCCGTGTTACATTTCTCTCCGTGTAAGCTTCTTACATCCCCACCTTTTTCAGTTCTCTTCTTGGTTAGTCATGCTTCTCTCTGAAATGTTCTCCTGACCTAGAGTTTAACAACACAGCTAAGTAGTACTGCCATGGCTACAGGTATAGACCCAAATTCATATGGCAGAGAAAAGAAATCTTAAAGACCAACAAAAAAATGAAGCATCTAGTATGCAGTTCCCTTTTACAAATAGCATGGTGTGTAGCTACACAATGCAGTAATGTGTGTGTGGGGGAGTCAGTTTCGTCATTTGTAATCGTATGTAAACTCACAGCTAAGGAAATATATATGGCAGACTAAAGATGAAAGCCGGAACTATTTTTATCTCTATTAAATCTTTTTAACTAACAATGTAAACATCTGCAGTGTCTGTTAGCTAATTAAAATTGTTTGCCATTTTTCCTCCTCCCTTTCTCTCCCCTTCCCCCCCCCACTCCAAATGCACCACACTGAAACATTTATTTCAAAAGAAATGATAATGCTAATTGAGACACTCCAGGGTAATTGCTGGTTTTGATCGACTCCCCATCCATCGAATTTTATTTAAAGATGATTCTGCATTCAGTAGTTCTGAACACCACATTTGCATTCACTGATCCAGCCCCACCCCACCAACCCCCCAAAACATTCTTTTCATCATTTTCTTTAAAACACCAGTCCATTATTTTAAAAAAACCTGTGAATCTCTGATCCAGTCTGAGAAGAGGAGGAAAACAACCCATCTAAACCAAGGCAACATTTCCCAGCAACATGAAACACTGAAAAATAATTACTGGGTGTACCATTTACCTTTATGCAAGTATTCATTGTGTGCATAAACATACATCAATTAAAAAAAACTGGATTTAAAAGCAAACACAAATACAAATATCTCTATATTACAAAAGACCTCTAGGAGGGGGGAAAAAGGCTGTGGCACAGAAAGGGTTAGTGCTCTAAACTAATTGGGATTTTTTCTTCCCCCAGCAAATTTGGAAATGAACTGAAGCCGCTCCCTGGTGTGAAAGCTGAATCTAGAAGCCACCTGCAGGATCAGCGACCGGCACTGCCAGATGCTACAAAAGCCTTTGATTTCCAGTAGCGATTTTGGCCACATTTAACTCATGTGACATGAACTAAACTGGAATAGCATATTCAATCATTTCCTCCTCCCCCCCCCCGCCTTTTTTTATCTTTAAATACAAACTCTAGCTTTCTCTGCTTTCTATATATGAAACAGCTGCAGAGGAGAGACTCATTCAGACTCACAGCTTGGGCCCGGGTTTTTTTAATGGCTTCCATGATAGCATCCATGTTGAGGTAGCTTTTACTAGTGGGAGCTGGGCCAACACAGACTGCTTCGTCCGCCATTTTCACATGGACCTGCAAAGACAAAATGTCTACGTTTTAAACACATCCTGCACCCAGCAAATGTTGATCGGTGCCACCTCCCCTTTAAGGAAACACCCCCGATATGCCATCATTAAAAAAATGAATCTTGTGTTATAGCCTCTTCTAAAATACTGTTTGGGTGCAAATAAACACAGATATAATCTTATAATAAAAATAAGATACCGTTCCTTCTGTCTCCTTATTTTTATTGCAGCATATAAGGAAGAGACAAACCTATTGATATTAACATTTTGCTTTCTACCCAGCCGTGGTTTATATTTGGACAAATAAATGCAAAGAGATAACAAATCCAAGTGTACTACACTGACAATTTATATGTAAATTCAGAACCTAAAACTACTTTGTTAAATGTAACCAGGGTAGCCTAATATCTTAGTACTTAACAACAAACATTCGAGGCCAGTTCCATCTAAGCAGGCTCCCCAGGAAGTTGGTGATAATTAGAGTGAATTGAATGAAGGGATGCAGCCAGAGTCCCTACACAGCATCAGGTCAGCACCACGCACAAATTAAAGCCTACGACTGAAGAGTTCAATATCACTACACGTGAACCAGAAAATCTTGAGAATTATTTAAGCAGGCTTAGATTTCATTTCCCGACTCATTCTTATCCTTATTCACATGAGCAATTGTCAATCACATTGGTGGGGTTTTTGTTGCGTGTGTGTGTGTGTTTTTTTTTTTTGGGGGGGGGGTGTTGCAGCAAGCTCCAAGCAATAGCCAGAGAAAGTCTGCCCCCCTCGTCTAAAAGAGCTAGTTTGGCAAAGTTTAAGAAAGCTTAATCTTTTTTTTTAAGGACAAAAATTACTCAGGAAGCAGCTGGCATTTTAAATAATTAGGAATTTTTATTTTATCAAATACATACTATTTAATAATATTTATGCAGATATATATATATAAACCCAGGCATCTGTAATGTAGCTGTTTCCTTTTTCCACAGCAGTAGTCCAAGACAAACAGTAGTAAAATAAACAGATGGAGTTAAGATGACGCTTAACAGCAAGTTCTTTTGAAGTATTTGTTACAGTCTCAGGTAGAAATCAGCCAGACTCTCAGATAACAAAATATTTAGGAACACAAACAAAGAGAAGACCTAAATAGTTCTGTAGTCAGAATTCTAAAATTAAAGCAGAAATGTAGCCACTGGATTTAGATTACAGGATTTTAACCCACCTTTTCCTCCATTCGGAGTTCATCATATATGTAACTACTATAGGCATTAGGATCTCATTTGATTAAAATTTAAATCACAATATTCAAGAAGCCTCACATGAGATGTGAACTGCAACTGATCATGCATTCCACCCTTTTACTTTGAAAATGGGGACAGCAGATCAAGCTGGTCTTTAAACCTGAAATGCAGACTGCTGTCATGAATGTGCATATCAGACCTTTCATGGTAAAGGTGCAGTCTACAAGGGAAATATGTAAAACACAAAACAATGCAGCATTTCCTGGCCATCTCTTGGAAAAAAGGGGGGTTGAACTATAGTGTGTGTGTGTTTTATTATATATTTACATACAAAGTCATATTACGTTTCTGCATACATTTGGGATACCACAGATGTTTAATTGAGCAACCTCTGAAGTATTGTTTATCCCTTAAAACTAAAAAAAATCCATATGAATTGTACATACAGAAGGAATATAAAAAAATTAAATTGCTAGATGGATTGTAAACCAAACCATAGGCATAAAGCTCTAAATGAAGCAGACGGTTATTTCCTAATTTCTTTAGATGTTTACAGGAATCTAGTAATTAACTAGGCAACATTATAATCTTATCAAGTAGCCAGGGGTGAAAAGAACTCTTTTTTACCAGTAGTCATATACCGCCCCCCATACACACCTCAATCACCCAATTATCTCTTGACCTAACAGATCTCTGCATGAGACAGGGGCAGGGGTAAGGTTACCAACTTTTAAAAAATAAGCTGTGTTTGTACCTTTTTACAGCTGCCTGAATTAAGGTGCTATGTTTCCTCACATGGGGGGGAATGTTAGCAGAAGCTTTACCTGCTTAATATTTGTGCATCAGAGAGTGCAGAAGTAAGACCAGAAAAAAAAATGTGGGTAACTGTGAGAGTCACAGGGTTATACTTCCTCAATGCCTCACTTCTCAATGGGTAAGCAAATTTCTGCATTGATACTTGGCAATCGCAGGAACACTTATTTAATTTAATTAAATGTCTCCCCAAACATAAAAAAATCTTTCGTTATTTAATTAGCAAATCAGTTGACTAATTGGACAGAAGGGAGATAATCATCTTTTAAAAACATAGTTAATTAATTAATTATTATATGGCATTGTGTGCAGAATAGCCAGGAGATCCTAAGACTGTCTGGCAGCCAGAAGTTCTACCTCTTTTAGCAATATGCACCACTAGGTGGGATTTTTCAGAGGTGGTTTGCCATTGCCTGCCTCTGTGTCACGGCCCTAGTATTCCTTGGAGGTCGCCCTTCCAAATACGAGCCAAGGCCAACCCTGCGTAGCTTCTGGGATCTGGCGAGATCGGGCTAGCCTGGGTTATCCTGACCAGGGCTTAAAATACAGTAATGTCCCTGTTCTAGTATTTGTGACTGCCCCCTTCAGAGACCACCCTGCAAGTGGGATTTTCAGCTGGTATTGTGAGACCGCGTCTCATGTCTCCCAGATTCAGGCGAGCTCCCCTTTCCAAGCTTTTCTACATCAGGGTTAAACATCAAACTGGCATGTCCAAAATCCTGAGAAATATCTGCAGTCAACCAGGGTTGCTCTTTCTCTTAGGATTCTCAAGTAAGCAGGTCCCCCCTCTCTCTGTTGCAGATATTTGAGATTCCTGTGAAGCAAAACAAACCCCTGGGTTGGGGGACTGGGCCACTGGTTGTGGGCTTCAACCACCTTCCAGTAGACTTTTTATTCCCCACCAGAACAGCACCCTACGGGGTCACCATAAGTCAGGTACAACTTGATGGCAAAAACAGAAAACAGCAGAAGTTTCTGGAAACGATCACTTCCCTCCTTCAAAGAGACCCATCGGTGGTTATTAGCCACAAGGTATAGATAGGAACTCTCACGTTGGGGCAAGTGATGCTCTGTATTCAGGGCTGGCTCTCCCGCTAGGCCAACTAGGCACTCGCCTAGAGCGGGAGGCCCTGGATGGGGCGGCGGGCCCTGGATGGGGGTGCTGAAGTTCACCTCCCCCCGCCAAAATCCAGCACCGATCCCCAAGGCTCCTCTCCACATCCCTCCCTCCTGCCCACCCAGACCCTCTCCGGCGACCTATGGCTGGCGGGGAGAGGCGCCAGCCAAGCAGGCGCATGAAGAGGGGAGCCCGCGCCGGGGCTGCGCTTGCCGCCGCCTGCCGGGGGAGCCAAGGCCGCCAGAGCTGCTGCAGGCGCCACCAGGCAGGAGGTAAGCGCGCCCTGCTGCTGGCGCCTGAGCCAGCCAGCCAGCCCTCTGCCCTGGGACTGCACGGCCCTTTACCCCCTCGCCCACCTACCTCCTCCTGATGCAGGGGGGGCTGATTCATACAATCCCCCCCCCCAGTGCACAAACTTGAGGTCACGCCGCCGGCGCCGCAGCACTTTCTTTCTGCCGGTGCCTGAGCTAGCCAGCCCTCCGCCTCGGCGCACCCCGGGACCACGCAGCCCTTTACCTCCTCTTGGCAGCACTCCTTACCTGCCACTGGAGCTGCCGCCACCGGCACCGACCGAGCGCCCGGCCCCCCTGTCGCTGGGTTCCCGGTGGGGCAGTCTCCAGTGTCGCTGGGTTCCCGGTGGGGCAGTCTCCAGGCCCCACCGGGAGGTTGGCATCTGCAGCCTGCAGCCTCGCCTCGGGCGCAGCCTCGCCTCAGGCCGGCCCTGTCTGTATTCTTGGTGCTTTCAGGGGGGCAACAGTGGGAGGGCTTCTGGTGTCCTGGCCCCTCTGCTGGACCTCCTGATGGCACCTGGTATTTTTGGCCACTGTGTGACAGTGTTGGACTGGGTGGGCCATTGGCCTGATCCAACATTGGCTTCTCTTATGTTCTTAAGCAGTCTATATGGACAAGCCTCTACCAGTCCCATCCATGGCTAGGCTAGCAGTTTCAGGGTTGAGTCATAAGCCCTATTGCCCCTTCAGGGAGCATCTACTCCTCCCTTTTACTTTGCGCTCCCCCCAGCTCAGTGCTCCCTCAGTCTGTAGCAGTCCATCATCTTTATTCGCCAAGGAGCATTTTGTTTAAGTAACCTCAATTATACACAATTCGACCATGTCACAGTCTGCAACCATCACATGCAGCAAGACATAAATACTACAATATCATGATATGAATTTAAAAACACAGGAAACATTCTTCTTTTCCTGCCTTGCCCTATTCTTCTTCTGGTTTCTTTGCTGCTCTCTCTGAACAACAAAGAAACCAACAAAGTAATGCACTTTGATCGTTACTCCTAATCGCAAACCTGACAGACAAGGTAGGAGTTTCTGAGAAGCACCCCATGTAAACAGGGGAAAAAATTCAGTCATAAAGAACAGCTCAGCAAACACAGAGCACATTCAGTGCCCCCCAGGAACCAGAAAACTGAGGGCAACTGGGCATCAGTTAATTAAAAAAAATAATAATTCATAATTTAAAAGGAAAACATAGCGGATGGGAGATAGGCCTTGTCAAACTGGGATTGGGAAATAAAACAGGATGGGGAGAATGTTTAAAAAGTCTGTATTGTGCATCTTCCATGCAGAATTAGATTAGCAGCTTTGCACTCACTCATCTGTGACACTCAGTGGTCTCAAAGTACTGCAAGGAAAGGGGATTTCTCAGTTGTTTATCCTCCCCTTCCCCGAGATTCTTCATGGCCCCCAACTTATTCTTTCAGATTAGGTTGTATTTCGAGCCTGAGTTGATTTTTGGAGAGTTACCTCACAGCAGAGAGACTTGATGAACAAATCCTAGTGAAAGTATCCCATGATTCACTGCCTGCCTCGGTAATTCACATCTCTCCCCCCC